AAAAAAAAAAAAAAAAAAGCTGACAAAAAAAAAGAAACAAAATGAAAAGTGTAGAAAAAAATTGTCTAATGTATGCAAAACAAACAAATAAATTTGAGAAAGTGTTTGAAGTTTCAAAGGCTTGTGAAAAAAATTTTTCTATTGATTACTGCACTTCAACAATATTTTTGCCAATTTATCCAATTCGCATAATCCTAACAATAACGAGTAGAAGTGAAAACAGTCAAAAATGCCAACAATAAATAATTTCAAAAACTTTTAAAAACAGTTTGATTTATCTTCGTTATTGAGCAATTAATTTTTTTCCTAAAAATTATACCAAAAACTAAGATTTTCCAACCAAAACTGTTACCATTAACAATTTATTGACTTTTTTAATAATAGAATAAAAGGTGTCTTTTGTTTTTGTGGGAAAATTTTCTAAACATGCAGAAGCATAAAAAAGGCACAAAAAATGACAACTATCTAGCCAACAAAATTAACCAACTTAAGCAATTAGGCATCTGTAATTGAACTATGAGAACAGTTCAGCGTGAAATAATCACTGCAATAAATGTTGACTGCCTATAAAATGATATTATAAGACGATTAATTGAAAAATTTGTTGCTTTCTTTATAAAATTTCTGTTTTGTAAAAGTAAAAATTGAAAGAAAAATTGACAAAAATTAATTTCTGAGAAGTTTTCCATTTTTCATTTCTTAGTTTTTTAGAAGCTAACAGTGGCTAAATGCAACACAAAAAATTTGTAAGTAATTTAAAATTAAGGTAAAATATTGTCAACAACTCGCTTGTCGCTGTTTCATTTCGCTAAGAGTAAAAACAGTTTAAAAGACTTAACAAGAAGAAAAATCGTAAAGAGTGAAGTGGCCTTCAAATTGGTTCATTCAACTCAAACACAATTAGAAATTTTAGACGATTATTTAAAGATCTGTAATAAAGCAATATTATTGTATAAAAACGTCTACCTGGTGCATCCCATCGAGACCATGGAGCTGCCGGCTCTTGAGCCATTTTCAAACAGCACTAGTCACCACTGAAAGCTAGCCTGTTCTTTGAAGTCAGCACTACGCTAAATGACTTAACGATAAGAGGAGAAAAGAGTAAATGAGGACTGAGCAACAGAGGAGAATAGAGGAGAAAATTGTTGGGAGGAAAAGTGGTTGGGATGGGAGGGGAGAGTCTACTCTGAAGGTGTTTGTGGTAGTGGTGTTGGTGACGATGGGTGATTCCCAAACTAGACCAAGGGAGTGTGTGGAGAGAGGAGAGACGCCGTTTGGGATACATAGAAAAACTGGGATAGCAATTTACTGCACCAAAAAATACTATTAATTGTTGTCGCAGTTATTTGTTGTTGTTGTTGTTGTTGTTGTTACTGCTGCAGCTGCAGCAGCTGCTGCTGCTGTTGCTGTTGCAGCTTGTGTTGCTGGTGTTCGTGCTGTTGCTGTTGTTGCCGTTATGGGACTGTCGTCGTCAAAATTGAACCAATATCGTATGTGAAAAAAAAAAAAAAACTAACAGTATACAAAAATACTTTTTCATAGTATATACCAATATTCTATTGGCTTTTTTGAATAGTGTATATAGCAGGTTTGTTTGTATATATTTGCCACATACATACACCACCAGAATAAGATAGAAAATTCTTTGTAGCCAACACTTGGCTTACTCAACTTTTTCGATCGGCAAACTGCTCTTCTATTGGACTGTTTATTTGCCAGTTAGTTTTCTTTTGTAAATGTTCTTGTGTGTGTATGTGTGTGTGTGTGTGTGTGTGTGTGTGTGTGTGTGTGTGGTGTGTGTGTGTGTGTGTGTGTGTGTGTGTGTGTGTGTTTGTCTGCATGAACCAAATATTTCCGAAGAACAAATTCAAGCACAACCTTCATAACTTTTTTTGTACTGTCGTCACTGCTGCTGATGTTTTGCATACCCTTAATTATATGTCTAACAAATCATCAAAATAAAAACAATTGAATGATAAAATGATGACTTGGTATAACTTTTTTTTCTTCATCTACCTTAGAAGTGGGAAATGGAAAAAGGAATAATAATGAAAAAAAGAAGGAGAAAGATTGGTCGTGATAAAAATGATTGAAAAGAAACAAATAGAAACTGGAATAAATAATTCATAATGTTTCATTATATATAAAAAAAAAATTTTTATAGATTTTTTTCATCAGTTCTTTTGCACTCCTACTCAACTTTACTTTCTGTACCATTGAATTACTGGTGCTGTTGTTGCTGTTGATATTCTGTTGTAACATCTGAAAGTATTTTTCTTCTTGTTTAATCTAAACATTTTTCCATACTTGATGTGTGTACTGACAATAGAATTCAGTTTAAAAAATATATGAATACAAACATAAAAATTATGCAAACATATTAGAATGACAACACTGAAATTGCACCTAAAATTATCAACTTTGGGCAGTTGATTTGGTTTGAATAAAAGTTGAAAAAGTCTGACTGACTCGCTTTCTAAATGGACGAAAAATATAGATCT